GATTGGTGTTGGGTCTAGATGGTAGTCACCATGGTGGAGTGGAGAAGGAGGGTGATATATAAAGGTTCAAGATCCTGTCCTCTCTTTTTAATTCCAAATCTTCAAAGAATGCAAGTCAACAAGACTCTTTTTCTTCTTGAACTCAATGAATCATCAAAGAACTATTATTCATTTTTTCAATGAGTTGTGCCTTGTAAGATTTTAACAGATTTTGACCACCTGAAAACTCAATGTTTTGTCTCTTGCTTTTTGTTCCATTTAACTGTATGTTTCCTAAAGCATAAGAGACCTCAATGGACTTGAACTTGGAGATTTAATTTCTCTAATCTTGCAATGGTTTTTGTTTTCTTGATTACATGTGTTAGTTGAAATGGGTTGTAAAATATTTATCTTTAAATCGCATCTCCAACCAAACCCGAATATCTTCAATATTAAAACATACATGACAAAACTTGCGCACGTGCGAACAATATCCGTCAATTCCTTGTAAAAATAATTTGGTCTTCATGGAAAGAAGACCAACTCCTACCAAAAACCTGTGGAATAGGCAGTAGGGAAACTATGAAGCACAAGTTGCACTTGCAATAACAAGTGAAATGAAAAACCGTCAATTCAATTGCAAGCACAACATTTTATATTTTGATTTTTATAAAAAGAAAATCACCTCCCACCAACTCATTGAATAAGCGGAGGGGAACCCGTGTAGCACATGTTGCACTTGTGATGACAAGTGGTGATGCAATCCGTCAATTAATATCAAGAAGCTTGTAAAAAACTATATTTGGATTTCATGAGATGAAAACCAACTCCCACCAATACCCGTCGGATAGGTGATGGGGACCTAAGAAACTTAAGGTAAACTTGTAAAAACAAGTTAATGAACCTTCAATTTGTTTAAGAGATTTGGACTTCATAAAAGAAAGTCCAACTCTCACCAGCCTATCGAATAGGAGATGAGAGACCGACAAAAGCATGTCAATCCCAACTGAATGGGACAAAGAAACATCAACCAGGAGATTTGAAATCTATTACGAAATTTAACGTAAATTTGTCTTTTTAAGCTCAAAAACCATGTATAATTTTTAAAATTGGGGGTAAAAATAGGTTTGGAGTATGCCGAGCATACTCCCAAAAAACCAATTGGGCTATTTTTGGGCCTTGGGCCATTATGGGTTTTGTGCATTGATTAGTTGGGCTATATATGGGAAGGGCAAAATGGTCTTTTTCCCTTAATAAGATAAAGGGTGATTTGGACAATTGATTATAGGTTAAAACCCTGTTTATTTTAATTAGGGCCGTCTTTGGGGTTTGATTAGTGAGAGGAGTTGTGTTAGCAGCAGCTCGAGTGGGAGATTCAGTTACATTCAGCTAGAGGTGAGTCTTGTTACCACACTAGTAGGACGAAGGCACCAAATCCGACCTACTGATTCGTATGTGTAGAATGTATGCAATTATGTGACTATTATTGATGTGATTGTATGATATATGCATCGAGCCAATATGGGCTCGCAATCATTATGGACTTGGGGTTGATACAGACCTAAGGGTTGATACGGACCTGACACAACTATTTGATGTTCTATGGGGTTGATATGGACTCGATGGTTGTTACGGATTTGACACAGCCACATGCTGTTATATTTTTGTGTTTGGTGTATGTGGTATTTTGCGGAAACTTACTAAACTTTGTGCTTACAAATATGTTTTTGGTTTCAGGTACTTTCGGTACAAAAGAGAAGGGCCCGACGTGATGACACAACATTCTCCCCCTCATGATTTCCGTATTTATGATTTCTTTTACTCTGATATTTTTTATTTTGGATGATTTTGAGACATGTGATGTTTGAGATTGATGAACTTAAAAATAAAATTTTTGTTTATGAATTTTAGGACGTTATTATATATATATATATATATATATATATATATATATATATATATATATATATATATATATATATATATATATAGGGGCGGTTCACTTGAGATTAAAAAAAAATAGAGATCTTGAGATTCAACCTCAGCCACATATTTTTCATTTGCCGCTCTAATGCTCCAGCGTACCAGCAGCAACGGAGTATGTCTATTCATAAATGATTATACCTCTCTGTCATATAATCATAAATGTCTTGATTATACATATATGTCGTATATGCCTAATCATAAATGATTATACATATATGTCGGTTCACAGATTGAGTAATCATAAATGATTATGACAGTTGGCGGCAGAAGAGATGGTGTTGACAAAGGTGGCTGTGATATAAGTAACGAAGATGACAATGGTGGGGTCGGCTGGTGTCAGAGGTGGTGGTAATGGTGGTGACGGTGACGGTTATGGTGGTGGGGATGGTGGCGGAGGAGAAAGGAACAGGCGGCGCTGTATAATCATTTATGATTATACTAGGCCTGTCGCGCCGGTACGCCGAAGGGTTATAGCGGCATATGTGAAATACGTGGCTGAGGTTGAATTTCAAGATCTCTATTTTATTTTTAATCTCAACGGAAACTACCTCTATATATATATATATATATATATATATATATATATATAATATATATATAGAGAGAGAGAGAGAGAGAGAGAGAGAGAGAGAGAGAGAGAGAGAGAGAGAGAGAGAGAGAGAGAGAGAGAGAGAGAGAGAGAGAGAGAGAGAGAGAGAGAGAGAGAGAGAGAGAGAGAGAGAGAGAGAGAGAGAGAGAGAGAGAGAGCAACTGCTTGTTGATGACTTATTGGGAACTCCTCAGCTTCTTCTACTATTTCTTCTTTTACCCTGACAAATCGACCAACGTGGTCATCCTTTGGAATCTCGACTGATCGTCAATGTCTTGATAGTTGATGGAAGATCACATGTGTTGGATTCTGAAATCTGAATAAACTTGCAAAATCAAATTGGATATTCTCAATAATAATTGTTCTCCAGCTTACTGTAGCCGTGAGGCATCCAACCCTTGTAGTTGTAGATAAATCATTTCATCACGATCAGTATGAGTAGATTCCATCATTGGCGTTCCTAAAGAGAATTTCATCCCTTATATGGTTTTAAAACCTCAGGTTACTTTTTCATATATAGAGGCACCAACTATTTCGATCATGGCCTTGACAGATAGGCCCTCACCTTTCTCAGTTGATTCTTCATGGTCAGCTCTTCCTGTTTCATCTTCACGAGCTGATCAACATAGACGAAATCTGTGTTTTTCTGGTGGAAACATTTTTGAATATTTGGTATTTATTGAAAAGCTAGTAGTTAATTTTGAGTCAACATGTCATATTGATGTTTTACTATATGTATTTTGGGTTTCGGGATTACATCTAGATTATGATATCATCAGAAGAAAAGATATTAGTGCAAATTGTGTTGCAGACGGTTAAAACATTAAGTTTGTGGTTGTGGATCATTTTAGCATAATTAAAATGCATGTTGTGGACATTGTATCGATGATTTTCGTACTGTAACTTCTGTTCAAGTGTGTCTATGTACAACTAAAATAATGGGTGTTTATGAATTATGATAGTAAAAGTTTATACCTTAATTACTAATCAATATTTTTACGCTTTTGCACGTCTCTACTTATAAAGGGTGTTGCGTGTAAAATCAAAAACTTCATGGGTGCTATTTGCACTTTTCCAACTCTTTGAGGTTGCTTCTTGTACACTGGCTTTTAGTACCCACGTGCACGTCTCCCTTCCTAGATCAATTTTCTTATATATAAAAAATCTTTATTACATAAAAAAAACAAAAAAGGCAAACATCATTCTCGACGGTTTCATTCTTAGCATGACAAAGAAAAATTATAATGTTTATGAAGTAAGAAAGATGATGTGTATGTTTGAATTTTGGGACATCGTCTATGAATTCTCAACTTCTTATTGACATGGCTGACATCTTTGTTACATAATAATACATCAAATACACAACTAATAAACAATACATCAAATTTAAAAATAATAAGCAATCATTTTATATCACCTAGTATTTTATGTATTAACCTTCATGTCTTTTTGTGGATCCATACCTTTTTGTTAGGATGTCAAAAAGTCTCATAGGACTCCGGATCCATAGGAAAATAGGGTTTGACGGTATATTAAATTTTATAGAGTTTAATAGAAGGCAGGAATAAAATGAAAAAAAAATATATGATAGAGTAAATAAACTACTGATATGTCAATCTATTTAATTTTATAGAGTGTCGAATGAATTACCAATTTCCTAAAAATCATTTGTGCATTTAAATCGTGAATATGTTTCAACACTAAAAGTTAACTGAATATCGACTTAAAGTTTTGGAAGAAGAAAATGCCACTTTAAAAAAAGTTAAAATAAAAAGGATATTAATCAAGAAAATGCCACTTTAAAAAAAGTTAAAATAAAAAGGATATTAATTATTAAAGGAAAAGTACGGGTTGTGCGTGCCGACACAAGGGATCACTCTGAATCTTATCTCAGATGTTTGTGTTGAAAGTGACTATATAATATATCAAATTAGATAATCAGTTATCATATAATATTGTGTGAAAATGAAGTTATAATAAGCACTTTTGATTTTCAAGCATTTTTAACAAAGTCTACTTGTTAGTCTTGTTAACACTTGGCCACTTGGGTAACGCATTTGTAACGCATAAGTTTTGAAAAAAAAAGAGGAAGCATAATGTAGAAGATTAACATAAATAGAATTTAAATCTTCTTTTGATATATAAATACTACTAAAAAATTCATTTTAATAGAAAACAATTACAAAAGGCAAAGAAAAAAAATTCGTATCTTGTCAACTCGATCAAAGATTTACTGTGGACAAGTATGAAAACGTTGTTTATAAATAAAAACACATGGTTAATAATCGCATTCATTCGTGTATCTATATACATACATAAGGGTCCCCTATCTTTTAAAGAAATATAGCTTGATTTAAAATAAAAGGTGTAAATAATATATTTTGTAAGTATTCATAAATAAAGGATAAAAACCATGATATAAGATGCAAGTAATGCTCCATAGACTTCAATGGAGTCCCTTTGCACCAATTAACCTTGTTAAGCCATATGTAATGGCCATAGCCATCCACCCTCCAACCACCACCCTAATCGTAGACTTGACCGCCGGTGCCCGTCCCAACGCCGCCCCTAACCACCCAAAAACCGCCAATGCCACTGTCACTGCCCCCGCCATGACCAAAATCCTCACCTTATAAGGCTTGATAAACGAAGCGGCCAATAAAGGCACCATAGCACCCAAAGAAAAAGCTAGAGCCGATGCAGCTGCGGCTTGCCAAGGGTTTGGCAAGCCATCGGCTTCAGCTACCTCAATATCTCTTCTATTGAAATCTCTTTTCATCTGAGCGACTTCTATATCGAGTTGTGAATAAACAGATACAAATTCTCCAATTGCCATACTGCAAGCTCCGGCTACCAAGCCAGCAAAGCCGGTCAAAATCATGGCTCTAATATCTTGTTTGACGGCTCCAACACCCATCATTAGGGATGCGGTGGAGACTAAGCCATCGTTGGCTCCCAGGACCGCGGCTCGTAGCCATTGGGACCTTTTTGAGTAGTCAAATAAGTCCTTGGGTTCGAGCTCAAGGGTGGTTTGGTGGTGCACCATGCCATTCACAGGGATTGTAGTCATTATAGATGAGTGAAGCAAAAGTGATTTGAGTGTGGGTAACACACGCCTACAAGTAAGCTATTTATAAGGAAAACATTGAAGAATTTAATTACAAAAATGATCCTTTGACTCTTCCATAATTTACAATATTGGTAAATAGAAAAACCGTTTGACATTTGGGTCTATCTATTAATAGTTAATACTTGATCCCCATTGATATAAATAGAAACAATATACTTAATTTTGGTAAAATTTTAGGGTATAACTAGTTTTTGAATATAAAACATCTGTTTATATATCCCAATATAATTAATTAACGCTTTGGATGCTGGTTAGTTGTTAGGCATATAGGACAATATTTTTTTTCATTGATTTTAATTTGGTGGGTCTGATATAAGAAAAGTAAATATAGGAATATGATTGCGAATTGTTTCTATTTGATGTTAAAGGAAAAATAAGACTTAAAAAGTAAAGAAAGCACTTGGTTTGTAGGATTCTGTGGGATTTTGTGACAATCGGAATTCTATTCCTAGCAGATCAGCGTTTGGTCGTAAATTACTAAGGAATCGAATTCCATTGAAATCCACAAAATTACTTCAACCATGGAAATTCAAAAACGCCTTCTAAAACTCGTGAAATTTAATTCCCATCTTTTATCATTTCTTAAGATCACATAAATATCAACCTTATCATTAAAATTATACCATAAACCGTTAGTCCTATATTTACCTTTTTTTTTCAGTGTTAGAGGGTTTGGCGTGAGCAAATGACTTAAAGTATGTTCGAAAAAAATGTTGTTTTGAGAATTTCGAACATCTTTAAATTTTGTAAACCCACTAAGTTTTTTTTCCTGATATAAAGCATGTTTAAAAATTGATATGACTGAATTTTCGAACTGTATTATGATTTACGAACTACCTTTTCTGACAAAGATAGTATGAAAATCTGAATATGTGAAGAAATTTTAATATTTTTCCTCATTTTAGTCGATTTAAGGGCATTGTTTCTGTGATATTGGATGAACATTTCAAATTCCAGTTTTCTTAGAATGACATATAATAGTATATGTAAGCTATCGTTGTATAATGTCATATAGCTATTTTCCAATTTTTTCGACTAAGTTATCATCAAATCAAGAGATGCTATCGGTTAATGCAATTAGTCACGAGAGAGTTTCATGTCAAAGAGATGCAACACATATACTAGAAGAACGTACTTACAAGCATGCGAAACTTCGTCTTAATGGTCGAGTTGTTCGAAATAGAGTCTCACAGACGACTAAGTGATCATCAAATCAAGAGATGTCATCCCGTAAAGATGAGAATTGGGAGGAGACAATTTTAGGTCTTTGACTTGGAGCATGTGGTCTTCAATAACTGAATCGTGAATTGAAGAAACTGTTAGTATAGGGTCTTCGTTTTCCTCTTAAGAATGGTTCCTGTAATGAAAAGATTAGCAGCAAACGATGTGGCTGAGGCTCGAGTTGGACTCGATTCCCTTAAACAGATTCGCCTTCTGTTCCCAGGGTACAACAACCTTAGCAGTATTGTGTACTGCCGGATATGACGACTTGCCTGAAAGAATTGCCGGAAGCAGGAGTACAGAGAAGGAGGAAGAAGAAGAGTATTTTCATCCGTGTGTTTGAATGAGACGGCCAAGGTCTTCTTTTATAGTTGAATCTTGAAACGGAAACAAATCACTAATTGATTGAGCGTTTAATGGCAATAAATGTCATTAATTACGCAATTAATGCATCCGTTAATAGGGACCAAAACTGTCAAGTTTAGCAAAAACGAGGGTAGCGCGCGCCCGAGTTTTCGGAGCTGCATTCGTGTCCGCAGGTCGCGCCCATGCACGAGTTCGGTGTTTTTGGTCTACGAAACCAAGATTTGCACCCCCCTGCGCGCGGGTAGGAATTGTAGCATAACCATAGACACAAGCTTGTAAGCCTTCCATGCAATGAAGCTTATAAACCTTGTTGAGTTTGGTCTCTCTACCAATGTGGGACTCATTCCCACATTCCTCTCTTTTGCTAAACTTATTCTCAAATACCCATCTTTGAGTATCGATATCTCATTCACTTATACTCTATTTTGGACATATAATATATCGTTTCGAAGTCCTCATGGAGGAGAACACAAACCCACTTAGAGTTCGTTATATATACAACATATGTATATATTTATATATGTCCAAAGTTAGTAAAAATATAAATATTTATACTAAATTTCCAACAATCCCCCACATGAATGGAGATCGATCTCTGCACATCCAATTTCCAAACGAAATTTTCAACAGTTGAATCCTGCATAGGATAGGTAGGTATTACCCTTTGAACCCTCCCTTAAGAAGTTACACTTAATCTCCTAGCAGTTAGTAGATCTCGATGTCTTTGAACTAAGCTACCATTTATGTAGACGACAATGTAAATCTCACAGGATTCTCCCTGACAAGGTCATATCCTCATAGACGTGTTCGTTTTGGTCATAAACACTAGCCTGGTTCTGCAAGAGCTTTAGGAATTGTGCCCCTATAATTCCCCTCGAAGCGACCCCACTTCTCTCTCACATAGGTGATTCCAAGAATCATTAAAAACCATATGTTTAGCCTAATTTTATCACTACATATAGGAATGGACTAGGAAGTCATGTTAACTCCCCGCAGTGACATGCCTCACTCATACAGTTAGGTTATCCTTTTGAACCCAGATCTTGGGATCTCCAGTCTTCTGGGTAAGGTTTCCTTCGTATGAATTTATTCATTCATGGGCTTTAGTCTCATTCCTCTTGACGACTTATAAACTACATCTCTACTTAAGCCTTTTGTAAGCGGATCCACAATGTTATCCTTTGACTTCACCCAGTCAACCGTGATAACCCCCGTAGAGATTAGTTGTCGTATCGTTTTATGTCTACGTCTAATGTGCCTTGATTTCCCATTATACATTGTACTTTGAGCTCTACCAATTGCCGATTGGTTATCACAATGTATACATATGGCCGTTACCGGCTTAGGCCATTCGGGAATGTCCTCTACGAATTGACGTAGCCACTCCGCCTCTTCAGCACAAATATCTAAGGCGATAAATTCAGATTCCATCGTGGATCTAGATATAACTGTTTGCTTGGATGATTTCCATGCTACAGCAGCACCTCCAAGTGTAAACACATATCCACTTGTAGATCTGGAATCTTTTATGTCAGATATCCAATTTGCATCTGTGTATCCTTCGATAACTGCTGGATGTCTGCCATAATGCAGTCCATATTCTCGCGTGTATCTCACATACCTCAGCAACCTAGTAATACTCTTCCAGTGTTCAGAACTGGGTTTACTAGTGTATCTACTTAGTCTGCTCACAGCATATGCTAAGTCAGGTCTGGTACAACTCATTAGATACATCAGACTGCCAATAATTCTTGAATATTCCACTTGATTAACACTATCACCTCTATTTTTACGTAGATGTTGACTAGTGTCAATTGGAGTTCTAGCTATGCTAGTGTCTCCCTTAGCAAATTTTTCAAGAATTTTATCCACATAGTGTGTTTGACTTAAAATCAAACCACTTTGGGTTCTTGTGATCTTCACTCCAAGAATCACATCTGCTAAACCCATATCTTTCATGTCGAACCTGGATTTCAACATATCCTTCGTGGATCTTATTATCTTGTCATCACTACCAATGATAAGCATATCATCGACATACAAACACAAGATGACATAACCATGAGTGGTGTTTTTCACATAGATACACTTATCACACTCATTGATTCTAAAGCCACTTTCCATCATGACTTGATCAAACTTTTGATGCCATTGTTTAGGAGCTTGTTTTAATCCATATAGAGACTTAACAAGTTTACAAACCTTGTTCTCTTGTCCCGAGGCAATGAAGCCCTCAGGTTGCTCCATATAAATTTCTTCTTCCAACTCCCCATTTAGGAAAGCCGTTTTTACATCCATTTGATGAACTTGCAAGTTTCTGATAGCTGCAATGGCAAGAACTAATCTAATGGATGTTATCCGCGTTACCGGCGAATAGGTATCAAAGTAGTCTAGACCTTCCTTTTGTCTATAACCTTTGATTACTAGTCTTGCCTTGTATTTATCAATACTGCCATCAGGTTTCATCTTTCTCTTAAAAATCCAACGGTAACCTAGTGGCTTGCTACCTGGAGGTAGATCCACTAGTTCCCATGTGTGATTTTGTAAGATAGATTCTACCTCATTTTTGATGGCTTCTTTCCATTGAGGTCCCTCAGAAGAAGTTACCGCCTCTTGGTAGGTTTTAGGTTCACTTTCCACCACATAGGTGAAGAAATCATCACCAAATGATTTTTCAACTCTAGCCCTCTTACTTCTTCTGGGTTCTATCTCTTCCTCCTTGGATTGAGCTTGTTCTTCCTCTCGAACAGCTTCGTTGTTTGGTAAATATGGGCTTTCAACTTCCTTGTTCAAACAGGGAAACACATCTTCAAAGAATGAAGCATTCCTTGATTCCATTATGGTATTCTTGTGTATTTCAGGATTCTTAGAATCATGCACAAGAAACCGATAAGCACTACTACTTTGTGCATACCCAATGAATACACAATCCACTGTTTTAGGCCCTAACTTTTGTACCTTAGGTGGTGGCACTACAACTTTAGCTAGGCACCCCCACACTCGTAAGTACTTATACGATGGCTTTCTTCCCATCCAAAGTTTATACGGTGTTTCATTCTTTTCTTTGCGAGGTATCTTATTTAAAAGATAGTTAGCCGACAAAATAGCTTCCCCCACATTGACTGGTTTACACCCGAACTAATTATCATGGCATTGACCATTTCTTTCAAGGTACGGTTCTTTCTTTCAGCAATCCCATTGGATTGAGGTGAATAGGGTGATGTGAATTCATGACGAATTCCATTTTTAGCACAAAAATCAGCATATGGAGAAACATACTCCCCACCCCTATCACTTCTAACCACTTTAATTCTCTTGTTGAGTTGATTCTCAACTTCATTTTTGTACAAGAC